GCACCGAGTGCTACCTTAGCGACAAGATTACCAACATCTGGTTGCGAAATCGATGCACTTTGCTGAACTCAAATAGGTTTTGAAATCAAAACAAAAATAATTAAAAATACAAGGAAAAGAAAACTTACCCCAGCGAGGTGATCCTGTGTCCGACATTGAACTAAATGAACTCCGTGAATGCGGACAGCTTGTCACCAAGTCTCCAGATACCGTGTTAGTCTATCAACAGGTATTCGACCATATTATGAATCACATCAAAATATCAACAAACTCCCGTTATCTGACTGTGTCCACTCCACAAGCGCGTTTGACTCAGACAAGTCCTCCTAAAATCCAACATGCACATGGTTCCCATCAGTCACACTTGTCTCAAATCACAAACGATGTTCATTAAACTTGTTGTCCGGATTAAACTGTAACGCCGGTTCTCTTGTCATTCCTGGTTTCGGCTGTCTCATATCTGGGTCAAGTCGGGTCATTCTTTCCGACACTGACAGCAATCGTATTTTTCAAAGTTTACCTACTTGTCGTAACTTTTCTCAATCAAACATGACTTCTGTACATTCCTTCTATGTTGTTGATACAGGTTTTTGCATTTTTACCGAATGACACATGAAAAAATTGACAGGTTTTCCGTGTTTCCTCTTATCAATGTGAAATTCATGTCCATGGTGATGCACGACGCCTATTGTCTTGTCAATGAGAGGTCTTGTCAAAACAAGCGTTGATTAAAAAGCCTGTTGAACCTTTTTTGAAAATTGTCTTCTTTTATCAATGGTAGATAGTGTACGCTGTATAACTCAGACAGAAATATAACTGCAATAATGTGATCTTTCAAGTTTTGTTAACAAAACTATATTTTTACGCGTAGCAAGACGTTGTTGATTGAGTAATGCGGCTGGAGTGAGTGGACAGTGTTTTTTCACACGCGGATTGATACAAATCAGTTGATTCTTGATCGGCGACAGTTCATTGTTTTTTTCTTGAAACATGTCTTTAATATGAATATGGGTAATAAATAGAATAACCCACGAGGTACGAGTGATAACGGAAAATATGTCACTCGTGAAATTAATCTTTAATCACTCGTACCTCGTTGGTTATTCTATAATTATCCCCCTTTACGAACAAGAACAAAGAAACACCAACATTGTTTGGAGATATCATCTATCCAAAGCATTTGGAATTTTTTTGCAGTGCATGTGTATACAAATGTCCGTGAGCTATCGCGGACGAGGGGCTGGGCAAGTCATATCAAGCATATTCTATTTAGTTCAGGTCTTAGCTATGCTTGGTTTAGTTCCCCACCTTATTATCATGGCATATTTCAAAATTTCAAATTTCCACCAAAATCAATTAAGCGACCATAAAGCCCCTCCAAGTTGCCTCACCTTTCGGACATACCCTTCTCGACTACATCCCTATGTGGCTTCGCGGGCCCGTGTGCGAAATACGCATATGTCGGAAAGCGCACGTTTACACTCAAACTAAGAAAGTAAGAATGCTTGGTTTTATGTTCGATGTATTGTTTGTTGTCTAAGCCTTTTTCAAATCGGATTGAAAGATATGTACAGCCAAGAATGGACTAAAATTTATTATCTTATAGTACTCGACAAAAATGTTATTCATTTTTAAAGATAAGCCTACGAATTCCCTTGTTTTGCCAATCAATGCAGATTTTCCGATTCATGTGTAATCGAAAACAAAACATACAAAATGAACCTGCAATTCTACCTTCAATCCAACATTTCACTCGCCTAATGGCAACCACAAACTATAGAGACTTGGACTTTGTCAAAAGCAGAACAGTACTTATTTGAAATTGTGAATCTAAGTGTTACATTATCCTCCACTGTATAGTATGCACTTCATGTATTTGGGTCTACTACCTTTCATGCAATATGCATTTAATACTGTCTATCGTCGAATGAATTTTATATGTTATTAGTCACGATATGACTGATACTGCCGACGTGATGCGACATCATTTCACACTAAACACAGCCCATTACTGACCGAGTACTCAAAGTAATCAAAGCTCTTGTGAAGAAAAACAAAGAATGCAACACATTTCGTATTTGTTGTCACTGGATGATAATTCCACTTGTTGTGACCTACCAAGCAATAGAGAACACAGGGCTTCAAGTTTTTACCTTTTATTGAAATGATTAAACCGAACAATAACACATCATGTATGTGACAATGTTGTGATGCCTTCTCATTCTAGGTCGTCATGCTGCTGTTTTACTCCACAGTCAGCAAGGTGAGGTGATGTGAGGTGAGGTGAAATGGGGTTTAACGTCGCGTCCAAGATGATTGCACTTATATAGCTACGTGCATGCACGTGTGTGTGTGTGTGTGTCTGCTTGTACTAGACCGGACTGATGCCGATTTATAGTGCTAGCCCACTGAGATACCATGCCGCAGTTTAACATGAATACCCCACTCAGACACATTATACTGACTCTGAGCCGACCAGTCCTTGTTTTGGCCCCTTAATGCCGAGCGCCAGACAGGGTAACAACAAGTACCATCTTTTAACGTCGTTTGGTATGACGCGTTCGGGGATCGAACCCCGGACCTTCCGCTCTCCGGGCGGACGCTCTACCACTAGACCACGGAGGCGGTACAGTCAGCAAGAATACAGCGAATGCGGCGGCCTGTAGATAATCAAATATGGACCAGACAGTTCAGTGGTTGATGTTATTGGAAGTGTCCAACGCCGTCGCCAACGCCGTGACAATGCGAAGAAACTCAATAAACCAATCAACTACCGAACGACATACATGGTCATAGTATTCTAACAAAAACATGGTCATAGCATTTGCCTCTTCAGTTTTTGTAACATATTCATACGACCCAAGTTTGTGTGATGATGTAAAGATGATCATGACAATATCACACTCTTTTCACTTTCACAATATCTGTTTCATCTCAAAAGTAACGTATCCGAAAGGAATAGGTGGTATGTAAAAACATAATTTCATATTTCATATTTATCTTTTGGATGAAATAATTTGTGTTACTTACAATATTAGTCACTATGCAAAGTCGAAAAGAATAGCACCCCCGTGACGATCGGGGTGAGAATTGGTTTTCAGCAGAACATGCTTTGGTCGGAAGAGGCGATTAAACGGATCGGATCGCTGGTTGATGTATGTCATCGTATACCAGTTGGATTATCTGGTCCAAACTAGATTATTTACAGGCCGCCGTCATATAGCTGGAATATTGCTGAGGGCAGCGAACCTTTCTGTGCAAGGCCAAGCTTGTCTCCATTTAAGACGCTAGAGATAGCTTACTGAAAAAGAAAACGGACATGCATGGTTGTGAGACGTGGTAGAAAATGGTATGCATTCAGCGACAGATTAGAAACAGGGTGAAATATGTCTTGTTCCCGCGACAAAGTAAAAACTATGTTTTGTTACAATGCCGTGTCGCGAAGCTAATAAAAATGTCAAGCCTGAAACAGATTGATTTGCACCGCTTTCGTTCATGCGTTTAGTTTCTTCACTGAAGGTAAGAGCTGACCTAGTGTTGGGCATAGGCTATAAGATGCATTATTTCCAGCATGTGTGGATGACAATAAATAGCAGAAATATTAACAGAATGTTAAACTTCTCTGATAATACGTTAGAAGTGTAAGGTCGAATTGCCTGTATTTGTGTTCAAGTACATAACCTTGAGTAATATGAGTAGTACATGTGTGTGTAAATTGGAGCGCTAAATAATAAATTCAGACGAAGCTATCGTATGAAGATAAGTTAGATTTATTCGGCTAAATTTTCATCTAGGTCACAGTGTGTTAAATATCTGGTCCAGATGATGGTTGGTGTGTTGTTTTACGCCGCACTCAGCAATATTCAAGCCATATGACGGCGGTCTGTAAATAATCCAGTGATTGACATAATGAGCATCGATCCACGCAATTGGGATCGATGACATGCCACAACCAAGTCAGCGAGCCTGACCACCGACCCCGTTAGTCGCCTCTTACGACAAGCATAGTGAGTGAGATATGACCGACAAACCTTTTCATTGTCTGCGTCGCTGTGCACATGATAGCGATTAGTATGATGCACGAAAATGGGATACGATGACATGCAATGTAAGTAATCGAGCAACGACTCGCGCCGTAGGGGTACGATGACACGCAATCAACCCAGTCACGGACCCTGACGACCGGATCCATTGAGTCTACACGACCAGCATAGGTTGCTGGTACCAATTCTAACCTGGTACTCATTTTAACAAAATATATACGACTGACCCGACGTTTCTGGGAAAATCTTCATTACAAAAGTTTATCCACCTGCTGAATTATGACAATAACATCACACCCCTAGCTGCCATGGTGTCGCAAATGTTTGACCGACGAAGGTCGACTCTTGCTTATATATAATTATGTACATTACTAATTATTTATTAACAATTTCACAACCTTTCAGCATACATGATAGATAATTGTCATTGTTACCTTTATATATTTTAAACCGACATCTTAAACTATACTTTAACAGACATTTATTGAATTGTAGTGTCTCATAGGCCAAATCTGGCCAGACACATTTATATGTGTGTGACACTTTAATAAAATATCTTCTTCTTCTTCTTCCTCTTCTTCTTCTTCTTCTAATTCTAACCCGGAATTAACACGAGCATTTCAGTGAACCGGTATACAGTGGTATCAACACAAGTCACGACATCCCTCTCATACCTGACACGTACAAAATCTCATCCTAAACGAACTACAATCAGGAAACAACAATAAAGTGTCACAAACCTAACGAAAACGCCCACTAGTGTCATGTGTCAAAAACACATACAGCTCTTTGAGCAGAATAGGAATGACGAAAATAAACATAAACGACAAAGCACAATCACAATTTACATCTATAACACATGCTCATGTATCAGAACTATGACAGCGTGATTACTCGTCCAATGACGTACATGTGCGTGCGCGTAATGACAGGTTGGCCTAAAACAACGCACGTCCTCGTGACGACAATAAAAGTGTCATATGTAGGTTCTGGCTGTGCAACAAGACGTGTTTCCATACCCAGCAAACATGTGGTACAAAGTGCTAGGCGTTGTCTCTCTATGTAGTGTTTATGTGAGCACACAAGGTAAGATTTTATTATAATTATTATTATTTATTATCATATTTTTATCTTGTTTGATAACTACATTAACTTAACATTGTCACAAATAAGTGTGTTCATGCTTTCTTGTTGGTTAACGCCGCACTCAGCAATATTCCAGCTTTATGATGGCGGTCGTAAATAATCGAGTTTGGACCGGACAATCCAGTGACTGACATCATGAGCATCGATCTACGCAACTGAGATACGATGACATGCATCAACCAAGTCAGCAAGCCCGACCACACGATCCCGCTTGTTGCCTCTTACGACAAGCATGGGTAGCTGAAGACCCATTCTAACCCTGATCATCATGGGGGAATGTGTCAGTGAATAGCATTACGCCCTGGTAATAATCCTGCCAGTAAATAGTCAAATCTGGAATGCGGCACTGAACGTATAAGTAAGGAACTATAGGGGTACGATGACCACTTATTCCCATGATGAATATCCGTTTAACCTGATTTCTGTTTTCTTATTAAAGTGTTTTCAAAAACGAATTTATGGGAAGTGAGAATGAGATATATGGATGAACAACTTCTTTATTACAATTAGGAGCGACGTTTCGGTGTACACCCTTCTGTGTACATAACGGGCCTCTCCACTGCAGCAGTGTAACTGCATCTTAAACCTTCTCAACTGTATAAACACTGCCTCCTATCCTGTATATACTTGTCAACCATACTCTGTACATCACTTGATTGATAACGGTGTTAGAACCTACATCGAAACGTCGGTCCTAATTGTAATAAAGAAGTTGTTCATCCATATATCTTATCTTTACATAGTATTCCAATTCTAAATGCCTCTCAAAGAAGAATTTATGGGAGTTGAAAATATTTCTTGATTACCATATGATCTGTCAGTACTCAAACCCAAATGTGTTTCGTCCGTGTCACCTTGGGCGAGGCTACATATAACTTTCAGTTCATATGCCACGACTTCGTCCTTCACGTTCCACAGACAGGGAACAGTGCGACGTTATACGTCAAGCTCTCTGCAGTTTATAAACTTGTAATAACTCTCTTAAACCATTTCCATTCTCCACAATGTAACGTTCAAATTCCAATATCATCATTTCAAACTTTCTTCTGACTGTCCATAAAGTATATACCTATTAATCTTAGATAATGCTATGATGCGTTTGTCCAATAGTTTGTTTAATTAGGGGCATACAATTATTATTTGAAACTTATGAAACCCGTTTACAAAATTATTTGAATGCTCGTTGATTCGTTGACAGGGATTATAGAATGTCAAATATCTCAAATCAAAATCAAACGATACCTTGGTTTCCATGACCAATACCGATTTTCGTTTGAAAGTTCATTTTTAAATAAATCAAATAGACGTATTCGGAGGTAAGTAATTAGCGAAGAGATTGGCATATAGGTTTAACGATATGTTCTGATTTGTGGCCAGTATATGTAGGAGATGTAAAAGTGCGTTGTAAATCCACGAGCCCATGTTGCCAGGGTTTCCAAACGGTCGATCCGGATAAGTTCCCCGAAGCTTCGGGACGATCATTGGGTGGAGGGGATTTTTGTCACCGACAAAATCATTTTCACTGCTTCAAGACGGAAATGAAGAGCCGTATATCTTTATATTGTGTCAAGACATCAGAATATCCAGCGAAAAATATTACCTTTTTAACCCTGAGGGAAAACTATTATTTTCTTGTAATGTTAGAGGCAAAATATTATTTTTTAAAAACAACCCAGCCACCAGACATCAAACATTGGTCCATAATCAGTATACATATCTGCCTAATCATGCTCTTCCTTACAGTGTCCAGTCTGCAGTGTAAGGTTGCAGGCGACGGAGACCTCATCCCGATCAGGACGCCAGAGTACAGAGCATGGGTGCCGCTAGGCGAAGTTGGACTTAACGTCAATGACTCCAAAGTTCTTGTTTTCGCCGCTAGGTCCTGTTTTGGGGCTCACATCTTACTCCAGAACGATGCAGCGGACTTCAAGAATTCTGTTTATGAGGTAAAGTTACAGCATTGTATGATGTTCTGTTGTTTCATGCCGAGGTCAGTACTATTCCAGCTATGTCACGGCTGCCTTCATAGATCACAGAGTTTGACCAGGCAAACCAGTGAAGGATAACAATCCATATAACAATTGTATCTCAGACCCTGAACACCCGTTACGACCAGCAATGAGTTGTTGGGGGTCTATTCTAACCATAACGCTAATATGTGCTATGTAGGAGGGTTGACTGATGAGTTCTGAACCTCACATGGAAGGATTTGTGTAATAGTGAAATCTTAATGGGCATTACATGATGTCACAGGGGTATATCCACAAAGTCTTGAGTCGTTGCTACAAGTCAGTTTAAGCAGGGGTCTGTGACCTTGAGGATTGTTCATTGATCAAGTACTTCCATGAAGATATGAGTACAACTCAAGGAACGTGGCAGGGAAATCCTTGAAGAGGGCCCCTTTCCCGGAAGGCCTGTGACATCAGCAGCACAAGAAAGTATCCGGAGAATCCACGATATGGTGATGGCCGACCGGACAATGCTAGTTCGTTTCCTATGAGAGTGTACATTTCATTATCACAGAAACTTTGGCAATGAAGAAAGTAGTAACTCGTTGGGTTCCAAAGCTTCTGACATCTGATAAAAAACGCACAAGATGACTTGTGATAATCTACCTCTGTTTGAGGCTGATCCAGATAGGTTCTTGCAACTAGTGTCTATGAATGAAACCTTGGTTCTTCAAGTCAAAACAACAGTCAAAACAATGGGAGCATGTGACATCACCACCACCAAATAAGGCAAAGACTATCCCATCAGCTTGGGCAGTTATGGCCTCACTGTTCTGGGGTGCTGGGGGTGTCATTATGGTGGACTATCTTCCATAAGGCCAGACAATAAACGGAGCATTTTATCCTGCCCTTTTGAGGCAATTATGGGATAAAATGAATACTAGGAAAAGATGTGATCTTCCACCAGGACAATTTTCCAGTGCACAAACCAGTCACTGCCATGGATTACGATCCTGGCTTTGAACTCAAATCAACTCGAACGATGACGTCATTGCAGCTGCGGAGAACCTTTTGGACAGCCAAAGGAAGTACTGGTATAAATTTTTTCGAACAACGTTGGCAGACGTGTATCAATATTGGAAGTGATTATGTTCAAAAATAAGTCTTTTAATGTCTTTAGGTCAGGTCTTTCTGTGTGAGGTTCAGAACTTATCAATTATTTTTAAACGACATATATAGACCTGGAATGAAAGTTACACACCCCCTGAGGTAATGAATTATAACATGTCACCTCTAATTTCAACTGTAATGGCAACCCATGTTTGTCGTAAAAGGCGACTGGGCTTGTCGTAAGAGACGACTAACGGGGTCGGGTAGTCAGGGTCGCTGACTTGGTTAATGCATATCATCGTATCCCAGTTGCGTGGATCGATGCTCACGATGGCAATCATTAATTGGATTGTCTGGTCCAGACTCGAATATTTACAGACCGCCATTATACAGCTGGAATATTGCTGAGTGCGGCGTTGGTAATGGCAATGATCATTATGTCATGAATGGTGTTCCATCGAAAGAATGTGACCGTTCATGTATACCGGTGACGCCACTCATACATTGCCCAAACTGCAGTATGTTCAGGCATCGAATTTTGGTACTGTAATCAGCTGTCGCGCACTGTTTAATCATTCCCTGTGCACGACACGAAAGATATCAGAGGTGCAAAGATGACAAATAATCGGAATGCATTCCATGGGGTTGTCTATCTGGCGTAAAACATAGGGTACCATTACACAGTAGTCAGCCAGTCGGTGCGAAAACAAGGTCAAACCAATGCTGTCAAGGACTTCCAAGTTCAGAAAACCCTACAGCGACGTCACTGCGTTAAGACAGGGACTGCTACGACAAGTGCGACTACAGTCCATTACAAGGGGTCCCGTCCTGAAGCTATAATGACTACCCTGTCGAAGTATGTCCACCAGAACCTTGATGAACGGCTTAAGAGTTGAAGGAATGGTGCCCAGGAGAGTCATCAAAGCTTCCCTCCTGGCAGATCACTGTCAGAGGTTCCGGTTTGTATGGTGTTCAGCATGACGGGCTTGGAATCTCACGGAACCAATATTCCAGCTACATTGTATATGACGGCGGTCTGTAAACTCAGAGCGGGCTGTCAATAAATGACCCTTGGGCCGGAAAACTGTGCCTGACAACATGAACAATGATCCACGTCTTGGGGGCACAGTGTTTGTTCTGTTTATGTGTGTGTTGTTTCACGCCGCACTCAACAATATTCCACGCTACATGTCGGAGGCCTGTATATAATCGTGTCTTGACCAGACTATAAGGTGATCGATATTGTGAGAAACGACCCACGCCGACGGGGAGCGAGGACACGCTGTCAACAACGTCACAGCACCTGACTACCTATTTTGGTCACCTCTTATGGCCAGCATAGGTTGCTGGGGCACAGTGACACATACTACACCAGGCTATGCATTGTAACCATCTGATCCTTTTTATGTCTTTTACAATCAAAAGCGCCACAATTCTTTCCATAATAATAAGACATATCTGCTAAATGCAGGGTCCATTGTACGATTGTGATCATATCACGTGTTGGTGAAAAGAGGAGCACATTCTGTCCTACAGGTGGCACCAGTAACAAATACATGCAAAGGTTAGTCAAATGTTCACCTGAAATAAAATAGTGGAACCTAATCAAAAAAGGGAATTGCATCGGACATCATTTTGGTAACTGATGTTTGAAATGTGGAATGATCTCCACGCTCTGCCATGTTTTTTAAAGCAGTCGTAAGGCCTTCAATGGTGTACATCGTTTAAGCAAGTCATTTGGCGTTCTAGGGAGCTATCCTGCTCAGGAATCGCCAAAGGGAACAGTGATTTCGTAATAGTTGAATCCTCATATCGTATGTTTCCATCTTCAGGTTGTCATTGGAGGAATGAAAAACACCCGATCAGGAATACGGCAATGTGTTGGGTGTAAGTTCGATGAATGGGTGAAAGACAAGAGCCTCAACTGCCGCTTCTTCAACTACTTCTGGATTTCCTGGTGCGGGGATGAGCTATGGGTGGGGCGGGGATACAAACCCCCGCAGGACCGGTTCCTCCGACACAAATTCGAGAATCAACATGTCATCAACGCAGCTAGTATCAGGAGCGAGAGCGATACTTTCTGGGCCCTGTGTAAGTAGTATAAGCAGCGAAATTGATACATTCTAGGCCCTGTGTAAGTAGTATCAGGAGCGAGAGTGATACTTTCTGGGCCCTGGGTAAGTAGTATCAGGAGCGAGAGTGATACTTTCTGGGCCCTGAGTAAGTAGTATCAGGAGCGAGAGTGATACATTCTGGGCCCTGTGTAAGTAGTATCAGGAGCGAAAGTGATACATTCTGGGCCCTGTGTAAGTAGTATCAGGAGCGAGAGTGATACTTTCTGGGCCCTGTGTAAGTAGTATCAGGAGCGAGAGTGATACTTTCTGGGCCCTGTGTAAGTAGTATCAGGAGCGAGAGTGATACTTTCTGGGCCCTGTGTAAGTAGTATCAGGAGCGAAAGTGATACTTTCTGGGCCCTGTGTAAGTAGTATAAGGAGCGAGATACTCCCTGGGCGCTGTTTTACTCGCATCAGGAGCATGTGCCTAAATATCGTTTCACACGTTTAAGCAATAATCCAGAAATATCATGGCGGGGAACACTAGAAATGGGCCTCAAGCATTAAACCCCAACAAGATTGATTCTTTCTGGGCCTTGGGTTTTTAGTATTACGAACAAGACTTATTCTTTCTCTGCCTTCTTGTCGTTGTGTTAGAAGCGAGAGTGAATCTTTCTAGGCCTTCTTTTACTAGCGTTAGACGCGAGAGCGCATCCTTCTGGTCTTTGTGTGTGTAATATGAGGAGTGAAATGAAACTTTCTGGGCTATGTCTTTGACTGGCGTTTAGACGTTGGTCGAAGGTGCAGACATAAAACTATTTGATGGATACCAACTTTTTATAGTGTGGCATGACGTTGAGGGGCTACAGTCATTCAACTGATGAAGGGGCAAAGCGTAGCCTACCTGTAAGTAGTGTCAGGAGAGAGAGAGAGAGAGAGGGATTCTTTCCCAGCTCTGTGTAAGTAGTTTCAGGGACGAGGGTGGTACTTTCTGGGCACTGAGTAAGTAATATGAAGAACGAGAGTGGAAGTGGATATGAATAACATGGAAAGGAACAAAACTTTAACAAAATATAATGAAATTGGTGAGCTGTGTTCACGCATGTATGACTAGCATTTTGACTTTGAATTTTCAACAATTGAACATTGGCACTATAAATGCATAGGTGAAGCTAAAACGCGTCATTAACCTGTACCTATTGCTACTCTGTTCATGCTGTTTACAGGTGACATCCCCTAAAATTCAGCTTGCTCCAAAGACTTGCTCATGTTCAAATAGCAGACAAAAACGATTCTTCAAATCTCTGAAAATCAGGCTTTTTGACTTGCCCATACCTAGATTTACAATTCAGCCTTTCGTTCAATTATATATTTGATCTTTTCAAACGTCCAAGACTTGTAAGTGTAAGAACGTACACAAGTTAATTGTCAGCCACAGAAACATGTCTGACAAGATTCATGCCCAAATTCTAAAGTTTCCTTTCGACATCCCAGTGGCTACAAAAGGGTCCTTGTCTATCCTCGACCTTTCCGAATCGAGGTCGTCAAGAAATAGAAACTACTTGTTTTAGAAATCTTACATTTGACACGCCCAAAGAACCCCACGCATGGTGAAAATGATTATGAAATACACCTTTACCTGACCGAAAGTTTTTGAACGTTACCACTTCACCAAAAGATGCAATGTAATATGTATCAACACCCAGTAGCTAAACACTGCCATATTAGCCCCGTGTGGACCAAAGTTAAAATAGATCACCAGCACTCTATTGAATGTCGTAAGAGGCAGCTAAATTGGATAAGACGGTCGCTTTGTAGTTGGAACTTTGCTCAGTTCCATATTTCATTGTTTGTTCCATATTTCTAACATATAATGCATTACCTCAATCCAAGACCAGCGATCACAGAGCTACGACGATGATCGTAGCTCCAATATACAAGCATAGGCATACAATCATATAAGCACCAATATCGCTCTATCGACCCCTCAACAGACATTCCTCATATATACATATCCTTCTGTGTTTCGGAGTTGTTCTATAAGAGAGCTACTTGTTCACCTGTTGTAGTTTTCGTCAAGGGATTTACTGGCACAAGATGAGGACATCTGAATCTTTATTCATTGCCTGTTGTGTTTCAGAACACCGTTGGTACGCCCTCTTGTAGAGTTCTGCCGATGCTGGTACATCTGTTTGAACCGTTCTACACTTACTCTATGATAGCAGCTTCCCCGGAACGACGACACACAATTTATATTCCTTAAAGTATTGTACAATTTGCTGATATATAGTTTCACATATATATATAATAGTTACAAATAAAATAAAAATGATATCGATTACGCAAAGGAACTATACGACTGAGATACTGTTTCGATCTTTTAAGATTTAGATCATTATTACTTCAAAGAATCATGGCAGATTACTGAAGCAAATACAAGTATGAACCTAATACGATTTTCATCAGAATTAACATTGATTTTGTTTTTGTCGTATCAACCCTGTGCTGTTGTACATTGCACCCTTGTGTTCAGAAGAAATATACTTGATGCATACAGGTACATACTGTAGTTGTTTTGCTTGTTTGTTGTTTGTGTCTGACCTTACAACAAACATGGGTTGCTGAAGACCTATTCTAACCAGGATATTCACAGAGGGCAGGGAGTATAATAAAAACGACCAAACTTACATGGCCAGAAGAAATATCACCCAAAAGCAGAGCCGACTGCACGATTCTAAGCATGTGCTTGTGAATCACTATCAAATGGTAATGATACCAGGTTTTCGCAAACAGGTGAGAGTATCTTGCCGCACTGTTGGCACCCAATTGAAACACACGCAAAGGTGAGTCAACACACAAGAACTCACACAATGTAAACATAAACCAATTGGAACTGGACATGTCAGCTTCGCCCTTTTGGTTTTGTAGTTAGTTTTTGTAGAGAATTATACAGGAAAGTAAATGACCTACAGAACAACGATGGTAACATTTGTTCGTCTATTCTTTGACGGCTAATTTTTAATACATTAGTCCAGAAGCCTAAAATCCTATTTTTTTAACATCGCACAAACGTTTTTCCAGATATATGACGGCGGCATGTGAATAATAGACTCAAATAAAAATGAAATTATTAAGCAAAGATTTACGAAATTTAGACACGTCACCGAGTCTTACCCCCCGATACATTTAGTCACCTCTTACATTTACGACCAGCATGAGATGCAGGATACGTTCAAATAGCTCCCCCGCAACCTATGCTTGCAGTGAGATGGGATGGTCAGGCACGCTGACTTGGTTGATGCATGTTATCATATCACAATTGCGTAGATCGATGCGTATGATGTCAATCGCTGGATTGTCTGGTCAAGACTCGATTATTTACAGACTGCCGTCATAAAACAAAAAACAAACAAACAATAAATCAAATCACAAGTGCAGTAATCTAAGGTTTGCTAATTAGCCGATTTTGGCGTCAAACAAAATACAAAGAAATGTTTTCGTTTGTCGCACGGGAACTTCGTAAAACAACTGCGGTCATCTGTAACACTTCAATGTGAAAACTCTGCATGGTACATTTCAATATTTGCACCAGCTCGAGGGATAATTGAACTCATCAGCTGCCGAACCAAATGACATCTGCTAGTGTATCGGTCACCTACGTTAACTAAAGACTTAGACTATCGAACAAATTCATTAAAAGCCGCCATAGGAGGTGGCATCAGGTGAACCCTGACCGAACTTTGACCGTTTGATTTAAATGAAGGATGCGTGGGTTCCTGAGCCATAACATGTTAGCTCTCGCCCAAGGTGTAGATGCCATGGCGCTCAGAAACGACAGTATAAGTAAACTAGCGAAATCATGGCCGAGCTTACATTCGGCTTCAAGATACAGAAAACACACATGTTGGTTTGCAGGCTTCACTCACGCGTATCGAGAATACAGAAGCCTCGACAGCTGACAGGATGATTAACAATTTCTCCTTACGCGACCTCCTTTTATACGGTATATGTCGTAGATTGAATGTCAAACACTATCCCACATTCACTTCAGAAAAAGTGAGAACTGAACGTGTCAGAGTTTCAAACCTTTAAGCTAAAGTATAAGTTTATAGGTTATGTCTGCTTCACATCATCTGAACAGTTGGCTTGAGTGATTGCTTGTTTGCTTGTTTGTTGTTTAACGCCACACTCAGCAACATTCCAGCTATATGACGGCGGTCTGTAAATAATCGAAACTGGACCAGACAATCCAGTGATTGACATCACGAGCATCGATCCACGCAGTGGGATACGATGACATGCATCAACCAAGTCAGCAAGCCTGACCACCCGATCCAGTTAGTCGCCTCTTACGACAAACACAGTCTCCTTTTACAGCAAGTGTGGGTTGTTGAAGACTTATTCTACCCCGGGGTCTACTTGAGTGATTAAGTGAGTTTGATTTCCATGCGGCAGTATTTCAGTTATTTCAAGACGTGCCAGACTGATGTGGGATGAAACCCTGAAGTCATGCAGGTCTTAGATGTTTCTCAATTTGGTAAGCCCATGAGTTCTGGCGAACATAACAAGATGGAATGTTGGATTCGAACACACGGTAATAAGAACCTGATGTTTTCTAAGGGATAAAAGTGGAAGTGGTGCTGTGGCCTTTGTTCCCGTTAACATGATATTTTCAGCTGGTTCAATGTGCAAATAATTCTGAAAAACCTTTGTTGTTGAGTAAATTATGCAAATGATCATTTTGGTTCTGTTCGTTGTCTAAGCCGCACACATCAACATTCCAGTTATTGCGGCCTGTAAGTAATCAAGTCTGGACCAGACAAACAATGGCACGCTTTTCCCTCCCTTCTTTGGTTGCAAAGAGATAACGGGAGTGTCAGTAACTAAGGCTGTACCGTACGTTCATTAGGCACCGTACGTAAGACAAGAAAGTGAAACAGACCTCCAAATTTTATTTTTGTGTTCATGACAGGTGCCACCGACGCTGGTCTCATCACTACTTTGGTTGGCTTTCTGTTGGTGTTGGCTTTTGGCCTGGTCACGGTGGTCTGCCGCTCCTGGGCTTGTCCCTGGTACGGCTAGCATGGCGGAAAATATAAAGTCATAAGTCTTGTGATTGTGATGCGTGGGGATCCAGAGGTTGCTGTTTTGTTTGTTTGTTTCATGTTTAACGCCGCACTCAGCAATATCCCAGCTATATGATGGCGGTCTGTAAATAATCCAGTTTGGACCAGACAAACCAGTGATTGACATCATGAGCACGGATCCACGCAATTGGGATATGATGACATGCATCAACCAAGTCAGTGAGCCTGACCACCCGATCCCGTTAGTCGCCTCTTACGACAAGCATTGTTATGGCAAGCATGGGTTGCTGAAGACCTATTCTACCCCGGATCTTCACGGGTCTGAGGTTGCTATATTGATATGGAAAGTCCCCATCTGTATCGTACTGATGGCTCTTTCTCTCTGCTATCGTGATAATCTTGTCATGATTGTTGTGATTCTCTTGTAAATGTTGATGCTATATATCGATGATTCAGTGCCTTTATACCGATTGGAGATTTTCTTCACAAGAATGACTATTATGTCGTTTATATAGGTAATTACAATTTTATAATGTTAACATAAAATGCCCATGGCCAAAATACTCAATTGTCGCCGAAACAGATTCCATTGGGCGTAAAAGGCAAAATGGCAGTAAAAATTATATTGATATACTATCCCTGAAAATCAGTGATAACACCAGCTGTTCACAAAAAGGGTAAATATATCCTGCCCTACATGTAGCACCGCCACTCACACAATTTAAATGAAAAGGTAAATGTTGACTGACGCCACACAGCAGAATTCCTGCCTATAAACAAACCAGACCAGAAGGGGTCGATGGACACAAAGGCACATTACAGATGTGCTAAACTAAAACGATATTTAAATTTTAATAACACAAGTCATTTTGCTGGAATATTGCTGAAAACGGCGTAAACGCTTACTCACTCGCTAACTTATTTCTTACGTATAGACATTTTCACAGACGGTCAATTTGGCTGTGCTTGGTAAAAGCATACGATCTAGTGTTTACATTTCGCAGTTTTTTATTTAAAGTTTGGACATTCTTAAATTTGGCATCGCCAGTCAGTTTATATAATATCTTCTTTGATAGGCATTTAGAAGTTGGAGTACTAAGTAAGGATACGAATTTATGGATGAACTTCTTCTTTATTACAATCAAGTGCTAATAGATAATTAATTAATTAATAAAGAATAAGTTCATCCATAAATTCTTATCCTTATTTATATAAAATCGTTAAGGTGACTATGCGAGGAGTATTACTTTCTTCCGTTCCAACTGCACAATGTGATACTGCATCCGATCGATATTCGTTTCCAAGATCACGTGAGAAGAGGCGCATATTTATAGTAAACATCTACGTTTTCTTCCCATATCCACATCAGCGCATTGAGTTCTGAACGTGCATCTCATCACTGAACATGACATCCCCGAGGATGTTGTTGTTGTTGACCTGTGTCTATGTCTCCGTACGAAGTAAGTATTAAAGGATGTGGGACACCCAAGGGGATATTATTAACACATTGAATGAAATAACCCAGTTGTCGGTTACACCTACTGGGTTGTCAGTCCAGATTTGAAGAGGTCATTTTACGACGTATTTGCTAATCTAGGTATAGGCATGACTACAAATTGTGAGGATCCTCTGTTGTGTTTACTTGTGATAGACCCGTGAAGATCCGCGTTAGAATTTATCTTCAGCAACCCATGCTTGCCGTGATAGGCGACTATGCTTGTCGAAAGAGGCGGCTAACGGGATCGGATGGTCAGGTTCGCTGACTTGGTTGATGCATATCATCGTATTCCAATTGCGGAGATCGATGCTGATGATGTCAATCATTCGATTGCCAGGTCCAGACTCAATTATATACAGACCGCCGTCATATAGCTGGAATATTCCAGGAATATTGAATATTGCCGCGTTAAACAACAACAAACAAACAAACAAACACATCCCTTGTGATAAGCAAATCACGGTCAAGCAAATCCTGCTTGGCCATGTCAGTTTTTCCATCCGAAAGGGACGGATATTTCAAACCATCGTCTCTCAAGGACTTCTCCCTTATTTGCTCATTAGAAGAAATTGGATTGATTGTCACAATTTAATATGTTGTGCTTGGTAAAATTTGATGATTAATCGGTAACAGATTGTTCGCTGCTGTATCCTCAAAGTAGCGTTAATTTAGTTCTCAACCTAAGAGGGTTTGTAAGCCCATGTCAAGGTATTAAGAGCTACTCTGTGATGCTCTTTTACTAGTTTTAAACATAGATATGTGATGGTTTAGTTCCATCGTCGACAGGTTTGATATATTTCACGGAATAAGTTAACTTTGCATTGGGAATATATGAAGACTTTGATAGCTAAAACTATGCTTGTTAGCCATTTTACCGCGAAATTTCGGGGGCCTGTCACAAAGGCCACCAAATGGATCGGGTGATGAAGCTCACTGACTTGGTTGATGGCGTGACATCGTACCAGTGGATCGTTG